GAATAGAAAATTGTAGAAAATGGAGCGATCCCGTAATTCGCATATGGGTCAATATCTTCAAAGTGGGACATTTGAGTCCTCTTAATCTGCCACAAAAAAAGTTTTTACATGATCATGCATTGACTCAATAAAGTATGACTTACATGTTTGGAAAAAATACAATAACCGACATTTTAGTTTGTATATTTTGGAATTTTTAACATTTTTTTAAAATCTCAATACACGGGAGTGACAAACTTTCACGGAACTGAAAAGAAAACAGCTAGCTAGCAAACATGCTTTTTATTTTTTATTACAAAATAATCAGGTACAAAATAAACACAAAGGAAGTATTCTTCAACAACATAATGTAACATAAGGTCGATTACTTGAAAATCTTGCTGGGAGCACTTTCAATATTGAAAATTTATAGAAAATACGTTTCGCTCGGTTGACGAGGCTTAGGTAATATTTCAAGGATATCCTTGCTGCTAGTATAATTCTTATCGTCTTCTTCTAATCTAAATAGTTGCGAGATTCTGTCATTACACTCTCTGAGGAAAGTAACCATGCCTTCGTCTGAATTACTATCAATACCTTCTTCACACAAGGACACATATCTATACACATTGGAAGTTATGTTAGCTGATTTTATTTGAACGTAGTAGTAATGTAGCTTTGCGTTGTTGCTTTCATCTAAACTGGATAAATTTTCATCAGATGCGGAGCTTTCTGTTTCTGCATTATAAGATAGAGTTCCAATATCGTAGTGTACACATCTTTCGCCACAATCGAAACAGGAGAGCTCTCTTAGAGATAGGGTGTTGTGGTGTCTAAGAGATTGTACTTGAAGAACGTTTAAGGTTCCTTTAAATGGCAGAACCTCAACTTTGTTCATAGCATCTGAAAATGTATCAACTTCACAAGCATGAACCTCAAATAAAGGATACGCCTGGGCAGCTGGCTTTCAGAATTCCAATTGGCTGAAAGAGCTAACATCGGTTCCCTGAGCAACCATACGGTATGCAGTCCTTTTACAAACTCCACCAATGCCGTCCGGGGCGCCTTTACCATGTCCAGGTAACTGATTGCACTTGCGGAAAATAGCTATAGATACCATTTGTAATGAATGCAAACATTTGCTTGTTGAGGTACTGTGTGCTGGGGCTGTCGCTAAGAAAATGCAACAGTTTTACCCCATTATCAGGATAGAGTTTGATCAGTGGAAACAGATGAGCCCATATGGCACCGGGACCGTGCTCCAACGACTCTGATAATGTACAAAAACTGTCAACCTTCCAGTCGTTTTCTGATATTAGGCTATAAACTACCACAGTATGTAACGTAATATGTTGCCTTGATCCTCCAAAATGATAAGACTGGACTTCTGCTGCGTACTTCAGATTATAATTCTCAGAAAACTCACATTGAAAGAGTATTTCTTTATTTGTAAAGTTCTGTTTCAGAGTCTTTATATTGGTGGTAAAATACGGCCCTCGTGTGCCAGAAAAAGAGGTAACCTACTTTCAAATTTGCTCAAAAGATCCGATATTGCTATCTCTTGCCTGATTTTAGCAATTTTCAAGCAGGTAACGTTGTTTTGTGATCTTTTGCTGAAATCAGTTTGTTTTATTTCTCCACTGTCTAAATGATGCAACGTTACCAGGATCGTGCTGCTCAAAATATTTAGGTTTATAAGATGCACACACTGAACATTTACTAAGTAAACACAATTAATTCATTGCATGCAATTCTCACATGTCATTGAATCAATTACTTCTATTACACTTTTTCAATGCAACACTTTACTTTGCCAGAGACATACATACAACAATCAACTCCATGTTACTATGTGTCATACATCTACATGTGTCTCGATTTGCTACCTTCGTAAACTTTATCCAGAAAAGCTTACATCTGCAGAATAATGTATAACTCACCTTGACATCGGAGTATTTTTTACAAAACTCTTTGAACATATTTTTTAATGTGTTTGTTAAATATCTTTTTTGAAGGGTAACTTTATACTTTGTAACATAGTATTTCTTAGCGTGGCAAATCCGGCTATAAACATCTTCCTCTAAGAACGCCATGATTTTGTTCCTATTTTCAGATGCTTTTTGGTTTTTTCTATGATTAACGTTTACATTCTTATCGCTGCATTCCACTAATCTTGTTTTTGTATATCGAAAAACTTTGGAGCACCTTCGTTGAAGCTTGTACTTCTGAATAATTCTTCCAGTCATGATTTTTCTAAAAACTTTTTTTTCATTTTGGCGTAACGATTTATAGCTTTCTGACAGCTGGTCCTTGATGGCCTCCCCAAGGATCTATTGTACTGTAGTTCCAGGTGTTACTGATGGGAAACTAGTTTGTTGAGCGACATCTGTATTTTTATACACTGACCTCTTCAGGCGAGAATATTTTTTCTTCCACTTTCCAACTTTGTTTTTAAGGTCTGCTATTGTCGCTTCATTTTTTCTTTTTTCTCGATATCGCTTGAGTTTCATTTTATTACTCTTCCTTACTGCATGCTCCTTCTCTCATCCAGCCGTTTCGTTACATACTCTGGCATATCTAAACTTTCGGATAACCTTAGCTTTAATCGGTCTCTCTCTATGAGATTTCGTATATTCCCTCGACCTTTTACACGTTTCTTTGGATCTTCTTTTACTTTACGCCTCCGTTCTCGTTCCCGATCACGTTTGATACGCTTTCTCTCTTCTTCAGATGTTCTCCTATGTCCAGCCATCTTACACCCTGCGAAAGGTTATTATATAGACATTTGTTCCTAAGCAGTGCAACAAGTGTTTACCAAATATTACTGGTCAATGTCACTCAATTTTTTCAGGTCAGAGTACCTTAGCTCCTACTCAGAGAGATCTGTAAAAAATCACTTGCATCAACACATGTTTGCTATAGTTTTATAGAGAAAAAATTGATGAAAGTCACTCCCGTGTTACACGGTCAGTCTCGTGTTTTCCTAATGACACGGCACTGACATTATTGCATTTACGACAAGAAAAATAAGTACTTGTAATAAAATTACTAATTGATTTCAGAAAAATTATGATGCAGCATTTAAAGGAAAAAAGAGCAAAAACAGCATTAACACACTTACCACTGTACTGACAATGGGTAGGTTTCCAACACACTTTTTACTCGTCGGCCCCAGTTTCAGCTCGAACTATGCAAAATCTGCGCACATCATCCGATTATTGAGACAATACTAACAATTTTCAGTAGGGCCGATACCATGGTCGTATGCTCCGCTGTTCGATTTTCGTCCGCCGGCGCGCATGACGTTACGCGGAGAGTGATTTTATCATTTGGGTTGATATGGATAACGTGCATATTTTCATCTTCAGGCCAAACGGCTGGACGGATTTTCACATATGAGGTGTCGTTGGATTCATCTTAGCGGTGCGAGTGACACTAGCTACATTAATATTTTATACAAAACAAAATGGTGGATTTTAATAAAAGATTTCAACCCTGTAATTCCTATTTCACGGGCTATAGCTTAAACGGCTTCTAGCTCCACAATAGAGCGTATCGGCTCTTCACTGCAAAAACAAGATAACTCCATTTTTCTTCATTACCTATATTTTAGTATGTTCTGTGGAGCAGGATTAACATGTTCATGTCATAATACTGTACTACATTTATCCTTATTCCACAGAACATCCTAAGTACATGTAAGTGTGAAAATGTACGCAACTCGAAAAGTAGAAAAATGGAGTTATCTTCTTTTTGCAGTAAGGTGGTGGTATAACAATAAATGGAAATTACTTAGTCTAAGCAACAATTTTTTTTCATTTCCTTTTACGATTTTTCTGGTCTTTCAAACCTTTATTCAGTTCTTTGATCCGGAAGAACATCCTTGACCTGAAAAACAGTTTTTTAGCTTTTTCAGGACAGTCAATGTTGCTGCTCTTCAACAGAAGTTCACCTATAAATGTTTGATTTTTTGTCACTATTCCATCCTCATTGAATGTAGTGAATACCTTGTTCAGCTTCTCAATTTGATTCATGAAAGTTGCGGAAGGTTTTGATAACTAAGATGGTCTATCCATGAATAAGTTTCATTTGAGGAACTTTTCAACCTCTCATCCTGCAATTTATTGCAAACAAAGCCGGTCAAATTTTCCAGCCCGTCATACTCGAGCTCATCTATTTCTTCCACTAAAACTTGCTCTGTATAGTCAGCTGATACTTAAGGTGCATTCAGTTTCTTCTCGTTAATGATGCGCTTAGTGGTTAGTCGAATATCTGGAGTATCCTCTGACTCAACGCTGCAATAGGTACGCTGAGTATGCGCCTTCGTTTCGCCCCAACATATATGACCTTATTCTATACTTAAACTCTAGAGGACTTGAATGGTCAAGAAGACCATCTTTTGCCTTAATTACTCCGAAAAAGTTTTTCTATCACATCTTGATTAAGACGTCTTGTTAACAGGTATTGGACGCTGAAGCTTCGTTTCAGATCCTCTAGAGCTAGAGCATTTTCTGGCAAACCCTAGCGCTTTTTACATTGACTTTGTCTTATCTTTTTGTGAGATGTAGCCATTTTTTGCTAAAGTTTGGGTCTTGAGGAAAACTGGGGAACGTCTTTCCAAAGATTCCGTTTAGATTGATTGTCGGAATGACATTCCACAACAGCACACCGCATTTTTATCAATTTATCAACCACACAGTGTATATAAGGTATGTATAACTAATACAACCACCAAAAAACTCTGACAAATCGCACTATTTAGTATTAACCACGATACACGTGGACTGCAGTAACGTTACGACAATCCTGCCGCTGGTAACCACGAGCCGATAACTCTCCGGGTGACGACACGAAGCTCCGCCCACATGCGCAATATCCTATCCTCAGTGTATGTGTATCGTGGGACAACACAGATATCGATTTTATGTTTTGCCAATTTTCTATATTGTAATTAGCTATGTGTATACTTGTAATCTGTGTATAGAAAGTTTTTAAAACAGTACTTAAGGTAACAAAAATTGGCAGATATTATCAACAGATTCCTACCAGGACATGGCACGGGACTGACATTTCAGTGGCGTTTTGCTGATTATTTTGTTCTAATTGAAACATAAATATTTAATATTGTGTGCATACCGTGAAAAATATGTAGCTTAACGCATTTTATCAGATAATTTTATTAAAAAAATTTAAGAAATTAGTTATTAAGAGGAACTTACGATTACTCACTTTAGATATATATATATATACGAGTATTATATGCGACTGCGGCAGCAGCAATCTGCGTTGTAGCAGCCCGCCCCCGCCTCATGAGAAAACAAAGTGAACGAAACCGTAAAATAATTTGGTGCCGAAAATGGATCAGGGAGAGGGACCAGGGCATGTGCGTGCTCGATATGCTGAATAAAGAACTTCTAGTGCAGAATCCACTGGCTTATAAAGTCATTCTGATTTTATCCAAAGCAGCTTATTTGGCTTTTCTGTATTTATAGGGCTTGCTTTTTACAGCAACCATATTTCTCATACTCGTTTAGTAATATGTCACACTGCTATTTGGATCATGACATCTTTTAAGTTTTCAATCTATGAGTAGAACAGCATACGCAGGGGAGGTTCAGGAAACTGGTGAACACAATGATTACGAGTACATCAATAAGTGTTTGAGGTAATATCAGCCGTTGTACTGCTCCAAATACGCAGTAGTCGTCTGTACACTTTTAGTATGATATTATTTAGAACAGTTTCTACAAAATTTAGCACTAAATTTGCTCATATATAATTATGTACTAAATGCTGTCTGACACTATCCTTAATTTTGTACGAAATTTAGCACAACATTTTGAACGAAATTTAGCACAAAATTTCGCATCGTGACTGACGGCCTTTACCATAATCAATGTTAATTCATTACACATTTATGACTCCGACATCATCATATAACGGATAAGGAACTAACAGTATAAAGGGTTAGCGTTAATATCTTATATTCATCAAAAAAATCAAATATTGCAAAATAATACATAATAAAACTCGCTGATAAATAATATAACACCTTTTTCCAACCAGCCACTCAAATCGAAATTCAGAAGAAGTGAGCTGTGATCCCGGCTCCTTAATAATTTCTGCCAAAACTCTGTCGAAAAGCTCACTGTATGGTGAACGGGTTATTGCTTACTGACACTGGAGTGGATGGTGGACTATAAGGAGAATTTGGCCCAACTGCTCGATTGGCAGCTAACCAACTGAACGGATATCTGATCAAAACAAATATCACACCAAAAAGCATAACGATGGTGACCAGGAGCATAACTATTAGAATTCTGTGAGACTTCTTGCCGTACACGTGCGGGAAACATTCTGGAAGATCGGTAGATGACAGATTAGTTATCGGTTTGCCCTTCATTTGCTTTGGAGTTTCACACCTGAAACAAATATTGAAATAGAGTCAATTTGATTGACATACTCGAATTTTCATTTCGTATGCCAAAACTAAGGAGGAAGTATTGTAATCGCGAAAAATTTCAAAATTGTGATATTTTGTTTTTTGGATATTATATGACATGTACATCATTTCCGTCGATCTTTCTGTAGGTCTGTCCGCTAATTTGATGACCGCCTATAACTCGAGCAGTACCGCTCGGATTTTGATGAACTTTTCACACATCCCAAGTATGAAAAAGCTTTATACTTTTGAAAATCGGCCTAGTGTTGGCGGAAATTGCTGAAACTTCGGTTTTTTATATATTTTTGAAGCGCCTGATCATTTTCGGATTTTTTTTTGTAAGGTGTGAAACTCGAGGGTTGGGGAATGTAGGAATAGGGGTTTGGTTGTAAATGTAACGTCCTTAGTACCATCAAACACTTTCTATCATTAGGAACGAGAAAATTGAATGATAAAAGTCCGATGTATGATGTGCTCATAATTCGAAATAACTTGGCAATCGTTGGCGTTGCGTGCACGGCGCGATGCTGTATCGTCGTGGAAGCCAATGCCAACTGTGCAATGGGTAGAAAACTGACACACGGCTACAGGGGAAACATGTAGGTATATATTTTAGCAATATTTGGATATTAGGAATACTTACCACTTTAGCGTTCTGCCATGCTTTTGTAAATTGTGACTTAACTATTTTTATATCAAAACGTATATTTTTCCGAATTTTATGACCCTTAAATGCACCACCCATTTCGCCTAACCTTTAATTTGTGTTACTTCGTCTATGATGGTTCTCTGAATATTTCGTCAAGTTGATTGACTCAGTACTTATGACGCATTTATATACTTCCAGACACGGACTGACAAAGCGCACATAAGAGAAACACGGACCTTTGACCTATGATATATTTTAGCAACAGAAAAGTTGTGAAACGAAGTTCGAATATTATTGCGAGTTCAATACTTCCATCATTTAGGTAGTCCTAGATTTTGGGAATTGATTTAAAGGCGGCGGAAATAACATCGCTGGAACATACTGTTACAACGTTTCAAATATTCCTACTCATTTTCAGACATTATTTGGAGGGGATGAAAATTTTAGGTTGGAAGCTGTATGCGGTAAATAGTTGTACATTGTTGCATATTTGGTGTTAATGAATCACCTTCTATTTTTAAGAAGCTGCTGGTTCCAGTGATGTCATTGTTTAGGTAAACTATTACTTTGCCATGACGGACGAAGTTTTCGTAAAGAGGTAGTCCACAAATATTGCGTAGGTTATTTATTCATCCCAAAATATACACTAATTAGGTTATCAGATAATTCACATGTGTCGAGTTTGTGCACCGACCTCCGGTTAATATTCTAATGGTGACAAAGTATTTGTTAGGATTCCAAATGTAAGGTTCTAGATCCAAAACGTTAATTCCAGCTACGTACCCAGAATCAGTCATTTTGTGTTTCTTCTTTCTTCTCACGTTGTGATTAAATATCGATGTTGACAACTGTTGTGTATGATATTATCAAACTCGTAAATAGTAGCCTCAAACATTTTAAACCTTTTTTGAGAGCTCTAATAGTCATTTGGTACCGTATGAATGTATTTCACGCGAAGTTTATCTACAAGTTTTTCCACCATTTAACTCTTAAATATGTAGAAAGAAACGTTACTTTACCCCATAAAAGAGAAAAATGAGTCTACAGTTTTTTTAGTGTGATACGTGATTATTTTTTAACAAATTTCCAAGTATAGCAAGTTGTAGTCGAAGTATGAGCAGCCTCAGTTGTGAACAGTACAGCAGAGGGTCTTATCTTGGCTTGTACAAAGGAATGAGGTTAGATGAAAAAAAGTAAAGGTAAAACCGTATATGTAAGTATCTGATTAGTCCTGTCTAGGAAGCATTCTCTGTTTATCTCTAGGTGCCATCTCTGCGACTAAGGTTGTCAATTATAATGGTAATTCTAACACTGGCTGCTCTTGATAATTCCACAAAGGAACAATCAAGCCAGTTTCTCAGGATTCGAAAATTATTTAGAAATCATTAAACTTCACCAAATATCTGCGTCTTTCGGCGGTGATAACATCCCGATCTCTTATCATAGAAGAAGTCGCTCCTCCTCACCTCAGACCAATTGCAAAGACTGATTTAGCACTCTGAGCGTAGAGTTTGTCGTACGACATGCAGCAGAAAAATATTGGAGGCAAAGCTGATCCCTGAGAAACACCCACAATGTTATTTGGGATGAAGTGAAGACTCCTATCTTACAAGTCGAAAGTAAATCACTCGCTTATCTGCAAAGCCTCTATATCTATAGGAGATCATAGGGCAGAAATTTGCATAATAGATAAACTTGTGACGTCTCAGCTGATAGAAAACCTGTTGAATCAACGGCAATGACGTGAGCAGCTGACTTTGTTTGCGGTAATACTTTCAATTTCAAACGTCCTTTTTAATAATAACTTCATTCCATTCATCGCATCATTTTGTAGACTCTTATAATAATTGAAGACACAAGTGAATACAGGTGTCATGTAGGTAACATTTTTTTGTAACTGCTTTTTTTTTCATTAAACTTAATGAGTGAATCTTTGATTCCGTGATTACTGTGTTGCAAAAACAAGATAATAACAATCTAATTGAACTAAATACTTAAAATGTCAATAGAATAAAAAGTCCCAATAACAAATGTCTAAACTCAATTTTCTCAATACAATCATTTTGTTACATGATATCTTTATCCACTTGTGTCTTCAATTGTGCATGAATGTTACTAGAAAAACTCACCTTACATTGTTATGTCGATACAATATATGACGATAGTGCTGCAACCAAAGTATATCACAGTCACAATGCCAAGGGTTCTCTGTTAAGTCAGCTCCCTTCATATTCTTAAAAATAAATGCGTAAGTGTCATTCAGTGTATTCAAACGATTCCTCGCTAGCGAAATAAAGTCGGGAAAAAGTCTACTGTCTTCAGGAAGGGCATCAAATGCTAGCTCGTTGATTTGGTTCAAATTCGGACAGTCGGTTATTTCTAGTTTTTCCAAAGCAGGTAGATTGTAGAAAGCATAGTTATGGATATTCCAGAGACTTTCCATTCTATTGAGTCTCAATACTTTGAGGGAAGGGTAGTTGAGATAGTGTGCCGCAATATAAGCCAGCTTATTTCCTGATAGGTCTAAGTATTGCAAAGATTGAGGTAACACGGGCACCAAAAGCAAATAATTGTCTGCCAACGACAGATATTGAAGTTGTTCGAAACTATGGAAAAAGTCATTTGGGAAAGCAGTGATATTCATTCCGTTTAGTTTGAGCTCAGTTATTTGAGGATTGAGATTGCTCACGAGTGAAGTAGATTCTAAAAAGCCTCCCAGTAAGTTATAGCTCAAATCCAAATAGTTTAGGTTTTCTAAAGGCTTAAATATCTCTTGTGGAAGATGCTTGATCATGTTGAAACTCAAATCTAGTTTCTGAAGCTTCACTGAATGCTGGAATGTTTGAGAATCCAGTGACTCAATAGAATTGTGACTCAAATCCAGCACCTCCAAGTTTATAGCGGTAAAGAAAAATTCCTCATCTATCCTGGTGATCTGATTGTACTCCAGCTCTAACACATACAGCTCCACACTTGAAAGATTCTGAATATTTGGATCCAAAACAGCAATATTATTGAAAGATAGATCTAGATGGTTAACTTTTGACTTTAGTAGAGACGGTACTTCACTGATTCCTCGTGCAGTACAGTCAGCAAATAATGAAGGTAAGTTGTGCCTCTTCTGATCCAACAGTAACTTGCAATTGCACGCAGATTTGGACGTTTCATTACAAACTTCACTACAAAGAGTCTCCAAAATTATTAGAAACGAAAACACAATCAAACACTTTAAAGGCTTTCTCATCATTTTCGACATCGCGTATATCTGGAAGTAGGCTAGGCGATAAACTAAATCTATAACTTATTGCCTGAAAGTAACATGTTTTTTTCTTATCTACTTTTTATCTACGCTGTATTCAGATAATTTTACCGATAATTTTACAATATTGATTGGTGTATTGATTTGTGCTAATGATTCATACAGATATCTATGAGTTGACTCGGTGCTTTTTAGGTATTTTCAAATTCCACATAAGAGCTCCTGATTCTGCAACCCAATATTTCAACCTCTCTTAATGAGTTTAATGTATAATAAGCAACGACAACAGTCCGAGCACTTTTGTTCAAACATCATTCTTACCATTTTCTAATTTGTCCATTTTTTATTTTTGTTTATTTTTTTGTTTATACTTGTCCAAGCACTTATACATACTAATATATCTATATATATACAGGGTGACTTCGAAGTTGAGTCATTTATTTTAACATGATCTGATCAAAAGAAATGTTTTTTTCCTTTACCATTTTCCTGGTAAAATTAAAGTAACAAAGTTATAGCCCTTTGGAAGTTTGAGTACCGCGCTGTCTCAATAATAATATTATGTGGTCGTGTTTGGCGACAACGGATATAATCCGCCGTATCGGTTCATCGCATCGGAAACAAAAAAGCGAAAGAATTTGGAACGATGCTTTTTACAATTATTTCATTCATTTGTATACAGTCAGTGTCAGTGAATAGTGGTATCTGTTGCGTGGCTCAAACGAAATAAAAAATGGCACATGTTTATGCGGATCGGTTTCCCAATCGAGTGCAACCAACCCCTCGTGCCTTTGTTAATGTAGTACAACGGGCTCGTGAATCAGGTGACTTAAGACCTCACAGGGGACCTCACGATCAAATACAGGTCCGCACTGAAATACTTGTCGGGAGGATACTTTATAAAACAAGGTAAATTTTTTTTTTAATTTTTTTTTATTTTTACACACATATTTTGGTTTATCTTCCTTCTACAATCATTATCTGAAAATTAATGACTCAACTTCAAAGTCACCCTGTATATACATAACTCGAGCTGATAGGTTTTTGCCTTGTTTGCCATGGCGAATTTAGCGGATGGTAAGGGGAGTGCTCGCCTCTCCCTAGAAGTCTGCGATTTTTTCAAAAAAATGGTATACAGGGAGTTTCAAATTCGGCCCTCACCATTGGGATTTCAGAAACTGTAATTGTTACGAAGTCGCTTAACTGGGGGCAAAGTTGGGTATTTGGGTAATCAACAGAATGCAACGAAAGTTTCGAAATTCAAGGTACTTCCGGAGAGAGACGGAAAAAATATAATTTTCGCAAAATGCATTTTATTTTTTCCTGACTGTATTTGTAGTGGAATTTCAAAATAAAGTGCACATCAACATTGCCACTTTTTATTCTCTACAAGGAGGTATAATTACAATTTCAATATGTCGTTTCGTCTTTTGTCCTCCAGCATCAACATTATTTTTTATTTCTATGGCCGCCATATTTGATTTTTGGATAGATAAATAGAGTTTTTAATTCCGATTACAAAAATGTACAATACGGCATACATTGACTTTGCTAAACCTGAATTATTTAAAAAAGCAAAATTTTCTAGGTAGGCCTTGAAATTATCATACCAGGTTTAACCAAAAATTACTTTTTCTCCTGACTTTATTAGAGATGGCATTTCAAAATAAATTACATGTTGTCATTGGTACTTATTCTTCTCTACAAGATTAAGTAGTCAATTCGACGTTTCTTCTTTCGGTAATAACAATAATCATAAATAAGCCGAAGTGAATCGTAACAGACGTTCACAATGTTGTCCGTTATTTTGTGGGCAGAGCCTGACTCTTTTCTATACATTGTTCACTGCTCCATTTATTTTCCACCTTCGCAGTCTCCCAAACTCTGTTGCTATCTCCAATTTTAGGTCTTGTCTGGTATAAAAAACAAATGAAATCTGATAGTTTCAAGGCCTACCTATGAACTTCTGTTTTCCTGCAATAACTAAGGTTGGAAGTGTCAATGTATGACATAGTACTCATTTCTGAAATGGCGTACATAAGAAAAAATAATATTAATGCTGGAAGACAAGAGTCGAAACCTCATACTGAAATTCTAATTATGCCATCTTGTAGAGGGGAAAAGTGGCAATGTTAATATGCAATTTATTTTGGAATCTCATCTCATATATGTATGGTCAGGAGAAAATAAAAGTAGTTTTGGGATAAATCTGGTAGGCTGAACAAATGACTATCTGATTATTTCAAGGCATACCTAGGAAGTTCTGCTTTTATTATACAATTTTGAATTCAGAATTAAAAACCTTATGCATCTGTGCAAAAATCCATTATAGCGTCTATAAGAAAAAATATAGTTGATGCTGGAAGACAAGATATTAAACGTCATATTGAAATTCTAGTTATGCCATCTTGTAGAGGAGAAAATGTGGCAAGTTAAAGAGCAATTTCATTTGACATCCCACTACAAATAAAGTCAGTAAAAAATTAAAACTACTTGGGAAAATTCCGTTTTTTATTATATTGCCCAAACTCATTTGGGCAAATGATAAATTTCTTGAATCTATAGGTTGAAGTATGACATTCGACGTCAAACTAATTAGTTTGAAACGTAACCAACCCTGGAAAAAATTACTTCGGATCGACAGAATCAGGTAGAGAACGCGCCAGACAGTTGGGAACACGAAGCAACCACCTTTGAAAATTGTAATTTGAATCTCGGCTATGAAAAAGTAACTGTATAATAAACGTTTTAGGTTAAAAATCAGTAAAAGTATGAACATTTTAGGTAGGTAGGCAAAAATTCTAGGCACCCGTATGTTACATTTTGGAATTTGCCTAGACCCAAAATTTGGCTTGCCACGATTCTAAAGAGAAAATCTCAAAAAATAAATTTCGGATTTTCCAGTTTTGGCGTCTTCGGTACAATTTTAAACTGTGCTCAAAATTAAAAGAAAATCGTAAAAATAGAAAAATGTAATTGAGATTTTGGAAGTTATGAACTTTCGTTTGTAATGCTCTCTAGTCACAGTGGCAAAATGAGGAAGCTGGGGGAAAGGCAGCGTAATTTATTTGACAAGCGGTGGTGGCAGAATGCACTTATGGGCTGAAAAACAGTTTGCAGCATATCGCATATATTTCATTCCTTACTATGAAATGAAATATTTGGGTGTAACATGGACGAAAATATAAATTTATATATATATAGTACTTTGAAGTTGCTTTATGGGTGGTAATACTGTGATATAAAATATGTTTTAGGTGTGTAAGCAGATTTTTTGTGTTTTACACAAAAGCGTGCTTTAAATTATAAGATTATAACATACATTACATAGCACTGTGACAATATTCATCGCAACCATGCATGTTGTATCATTTTTATGAGGGAATTGATTATTATTATATATTATATTCAGGATTTTATTTAATTTTCAGTGAATATTGGGAAAACTGTTTATAAAAAATTTATTTACTCGATTTTTGCTCCACATCATAAAAATTATTTAAAAAAAAAACAGATACCTACAGATTCAAGCGACCAGATCTCGTACTATAACCTCAAATATGCGCAGCAACTGGTACTCGTCTTGATCACTGCGTCCTCAATCAGGAGTCAAGTTTTGGGTTCGTGTTCTCAATTCGCCGATTCACCTAGTCTATAGGCAGAGTGCGTCGGGCCGACAGTTCATTTTCTTATTGTTTATGCCTATCACGTTCAAAGCTTCAATCCAATTTTCAGTAAATACTGAGAAAACAATGTACAAGAAATCGATTTATATCATAGATTTTCGCTTCATTAAAGATGCGGCGCGCTTGAGCGCGTCGATACTCGCTAGTGCATTTTCCATTGATCAGACCTATACTGTTCAGGATTTTATCTAATTTCCGGTAAATATTGATAAGACTACTTACAGAAAAATATTTTCCCTCATTTTTCATTGTTTCATCCACATTTAGTTATACGTAATTTTCATGAAAGGTGAGAAAATCATTTGAAAATAACCTATTTCTTCGAATTATTTTCCCCAACAAAATGTACAATATGGCAATGCTGCACAGTATTCGTTACATTTGTTAAGTAATTTGGGAATTGTTTCCATGTTCTAACAATTCATTTTTAAAACTTTCATTTTGTTGAAAATTCGCAAACAATTGTCAAGAATTTTCAAGAAAACATATTGGAAAAACATAACACAGCACACATTTACATAGTTTTTAACATGAAAACATGATTTACAATATGTACATATCGTGGGTTGACTATTATACTGTTCTAATAGTACAAAAGTAGTTATGGAGAAAAACGTAATTAAATATTCACATTTTACTATTTTCACTATTATTACCTACTTTTTTTTGAAATGGTACTCAAGTTGAGAGCTAGGTATCTGGTTAACGCATTTCTTAGGTTATTCATTGAATTTTTTGCTTATAATATTTAAAACAATAAATAAACAAATGGCTGATAGAACAAAAATATTATATTAACATAATCAGATTTACAAAATATGAAAATATTTGTTCTAACAACACAGGAATGATAGAAAACTAAACGATAACTTATTTATTTTTATAAAAAGTAACATTTTATTTCAACATTTTTTATTTTTTGTATCCTCATTATTTGTTTTTTGCCTTTTTGTGACGTATTTTTTCTTTTTTAAAAATATCAGCATCGTTATATTGTTTAAAAAAAGTTTTTATAAACATTACGTCAACGGGTGGCATAAATTTGAATAGTTTTGTAAGGTCAAGAACTTTCGCAAAAGGCAGAAGGCATTTTACTGGTTCAGAAGCACTTCGTATTTCGGGCAATAAACTTGAAACATGATTGGTTGTTTTTGTTCTGGTTGTGTTTGATGCCGAGATTGAAACTTCAATATAATTGGAGTCTTTATCGTGACTAACCTTGTAATAAATTTTTTTAGGGTCAGTTCTGGTATACTTTAATTGCCTTAAAGATGAATAGGGTAATTTTTTAAAATTCACAGTTTGTGATGCTTCTTTATAAAGGTAAAAATCTTGGGGCTTCATGTGAAGAACTTTAAAAGGTTTCCTCTGGTTAACCGTT